GAGCGACGTGCTGCAGCTGAAGGCACGTACACCCGCTGAGACAATCGTCAGCGACGAGGGAACGTACCAGATCGCGAACGAGGCTTTAATCAAGATCGTCGAGGAGGCGACCGAGGCTTCAGCCAAGACTACGCTGGCCGGCGCGACTACAACGACCGCGACTTCAACAGAGACAACCGACGTCCGCAGTATGGACCATGCGCCGCGTGCGGCGAGATGAGCTATTCGTCTCACTACTGCAATAAACGGTGTAAGTTCTGCAAGCAAGTGCACGACGTTGGTCAGTGCGAACTCTTCCGCAACTTCCAAGACCTGGCGAAATTCGTTCGAACCAAAGGCACGAAGGAAGAACACACGCCCGCCAGAGCTTAAGGCTGTCGTTCAAGAGCGCCATTTAATCTAGGCAGCCCGCCAACTGCAACTGGGTTGGTCCCTATCGGGCTGCCACAGTTTGCCGAACCTTCATTGGAAGCGGATTGTATATACGCTTTCAGAGGGGGAAGTGAATGGCCTGATTATTATGTAACAAGTGTGAATGCGACGGTATGTGAAAAGGAGAGGATGTCAGTCCTCGGTGGAGGTGTTGAAGAGAGTATGGAGTGTGCTGATGCCGATGGAAGCATCAGCGAGTGTTCGTTCGACGTGGTTTCGAGTGCAGTGCGGGACGAATACAAGGGTCACTCCAAGATGATGAAGTTGAACCCTGGTGAGAGACAGGGGTGATGGTCTGCCAAGAAGTTTGACCGACGGATGATAATGAGGGCTCTGGTGCAGGGAGTCGTGAATGACCATCGTACAAGAATCCTGCTCGACACAGGAGCAAACGTTAGTGTCATCACCGACACGTTTGCCAAGAAATTGCGACTTCGTGACATTCCAGATGCATCGACATTCAAGGAATCAGTGAAGGCAACGTGTCGACGATACGACGAGCGCTCGTGAATATCACGCTCGGGTGGGAGATGGTCTACGAGTTCGTGGGTAATGGCGCATAGTGCGGGCGTTGATGTAGTGCTGGTAACGGACTTAATGATCCCGGCCGGAATTTCGCTGGATCTGTTTTATGGTGCTGCTCAGCTCCAAAATGAAGTGTGCATCCCGCGATCAAAACGAAGAATATGGTGGATAGTATGGAGTACAGCGCACACGTCAATGCTGGACCAACCGAAGCCTTAGATATACCTGGCCACGAGTCTCGCGAGTATCGACTAGCGAAACGAGTTGTGAAACTAGAGCAGCATATACTGTGGGTTCGACGTACAGAGAAGGTCATCCCGTCAGTGACGAGGTTCCGCCGTGGCCAGCCAGTGCGCATCATATTGACGAACGTCTCGGAACGGACGGCGTACGTTTCAGCGTTCGATAGACTGGCCATGCTGGTCCCTGTCGGAGATTTGCCGCGAGGCGAGGGCTACGTGCGTTTGGACTCCAAGAAGTACAAAGATTGGCAAGTGCTTGCCTACGAGAACTGTCGTGACCGATAGTTGTTCAAACGAGAGTGTGAACTCTACGAACAATGGCTGTCGACCCAACCTCCATCGGTTGAGAGACGAACGTATCCGACACCTGTCGGAGTCATGAAGAGGTCGTCTGAAGACGCGTTGGACGTATCGGCTGATCGTCTGACATGTGCCGATCGCTGGGAGAAGGTTTTTGAACAACGAGAGCGAGACGAATGTCACCCAGACTCGAGGGTGACAGACGAAGACGCGTTTAAGGTCCATTTCTCAGGAGACTCGTAGAATGGCAGCTGAGCAAGCGATGGTGACGGCAGCGATGCCAAAGAGAAGTCGGCAAGATGCCTACAGGAATTACACGGTATAACATAGATGATGGCCGCATCAACGAGGGTTCAGTCGGTGCCAGGTGCCGAAGGTGATACATCAAGAGCAGTGACCGGTGAGGCCAAGACGGTCTCGGGTGTCCAGCGTCGCGACAGTGGCTCATCAGTCTCCTACATTGCCGCTAGTGAAAGAGAAGGCACGACAACCGGTCAAGAGGTAGTACAAGCCTCGCAAAAAGAAATGTATACAAGGGCGAGTGTTCGCGTGGAATCTCAAGTCGAAGCCAAGTCGGAAGAGGAAGCAATGACCGTGCTGGACAAGATCTACGTATCGGTAGCTCGAGTGTTGACGACCGAAGGAAATGCGGTTGCTGGCGATCCAGGGGTGGACCTTTACGAACACCCAGGTAACCAAATCGGCTTAGAAGACTACGCAAAGGGGTTAGCGTTCCTCCCCGACTTCACAGAAGATTCCAATACGACCATCGACTACGGAGCATCAAATGTCAAGAACTCATGCTTGACGACTGATCAGCAAGAACGACTAGTCGCTACGCTAACGAAGAACGAACGAATTCTCATTGCTAGTGGCAACGCGTTACCGCCACCAGCGTACGGTGTGATATGTGACATCGACAAACAGGGGCACGCCCCAATCAAACAGCGTGCTCGACGTGTACCTCGGCAAGCTGTACGAGTTGTTGAGGGCCCTGCTGAAGGCTGGGCTCACTGTTT